ATATTTCTGATGAAAATAAATATGTTACGTTATTATAATCATGGAAACTTATGTTAATCATTTCGTATTGCTGTAAAATATTACTTTTGTCAGTCCCCGGGTGAACAAACTCAAGCTTTAGTGGAGTGCTGTGCACACCCTAATAATTTATTAAGCTTATTGCAAGACTTTTTATTGTGCTTAGAATAAGAAAAATGTTTAAAACTAACTATATCCGCAAACGTGGATATATTTAAAATTCTGAAACGTCTAGAATGGGCTGTTCAGATTAATCATATCATTTATTTGTTGATCCACAAATACGGTAGTACTTTTCTACAGCAAATATTTTTCAGTACATACGGGGTCACAGCTTAGAATGGAATTCAGCAATGCGTGTGACGTTAATATAGGTATGCTCAGTCAGGCAGTCGCTTAGTTTAATAGTAAAAAGAAGATAAAAAGTTCTTGTTAAGATATAACACAACACTGGGGGATAAAAATAACTGCAGATTGCTTTTTACAACAATGAAGAAGTCTTATAAAAGAGTCTAAATAACTATGACGTATTGAAAGGAAATGTTATTGACAGTGACGCCTTCTGGTGACGACACAGAACTTCGAAACACTTTTTTTTCGGCTTGACTTTGATACCCAATATTGTCTTGAAATCTTTACACCCCTATTAACGGCGTCTGCATTGTGTTAACATGCTTGAGCGTAACGTATTAACTGGGATGTGCAATCGCCACACGACGGTGCCAGAGTTTCTATGACCTCGAAATGGGACATTGACAATTGGAAAATATAACTATTACGTGTGTTATAGATTCTAGTATGAACATGACGATGAAGACCTGTTTGTCTAGTTTCGATTTGTTATTTCAGGTTATTAATTATATAAAAGATGAAACCACTCATCGGAATGTAAGCTATTGGGTGACAGGACATCATCACTATATCTGTAAATGAATAAAGACTTTGCATTCATGTCTATTTTTATTCACTATGATATTACCCGTGTTTCCTTTCTTTTTATTTATCACCCGTTTCCTCTACGGGATCCTCAAAATACTCTATTATATAAAATTATACCCCATGCATACATAAAGTATTTATCCACATCTTAACATATAAGCCTATCAAACCTTATAAGTGTTTTATGTGAGTTTTGAGGACTGTTGTGAGGATTTGAAAGTGCAAAAAAAAGACAGAATACGACCAAGAATGAGTTCAACTAATTGCAAATGTCAACCCTTAACATGTAATTTTTATCGTGAAAGCAGTAAATTTTGATATTTTTTTTTTAATTTCACAGCCGTCCATGAAATGCAACGTTTTTGTAATGCTTAATTGATTTGGAACTTTTTGTAATTTGTTTTCATCTGTTTCCTGTTTCCATTGCAAAGGTGACCATTTTATTTTCACATATTCACATGACAGGTTATCAAAATCTTTTAAATAGGTTTAAAGGGGCACTAAGTACGAGATATATAAAAAATTTACAATATGATATTGTTTGGTTCAATCATTAATACAAGTGAAATAGTGAAATGATAATTCGCTTTTAGAAGCCAGTGTGTTTCAATTTTGTCAAAATAAGTTAAGAAACATCAATGATAAATTATTCACTTACAAGTGAATAATTCGACCTCATTGATTCTGTATTCATGTAACCTTCAACTCAACCCCTTAGCTAGAGATGGATTACGCATGAATTATGCTAGTTCAGTCATTAAAAGGAAAAGAATTTCATTGAAAGTGAAACAAAGGTAAATCATTTGATTGACTGATTTGATCCGCAAAACCTCATTCTTATACAGGTAAAACCGATGATTAACATATATTTTTTACCCATAATATAAAATTAAACAGACCTAGAAAAATCCAATTGCACGAGTTCAATATCTATTTATATCTATATCTATGTTTGTATCATTTATATGACCGTCGGCAGCCTTCGGAGGTCAACTCGATATTAAATTAGATGTTGTCTACACTAAAATTTATATATCATCTGGCCCATGCCATGTGAATCGTTTATTTTAGACTTTTTATAATTTTGATATACGTTTCAGTCTGTTATAGATAAAATATGAGAATTTGAGTAAAACCGGTGAACATGAATTTGACAACCAATGCCCTTGTAAATGAATTTTTGTAAAATATTATCAATGTGTTTTCACGGAGGATTAAATATAGAATTGGTCCCGAAAATTGCCGCTGTTTGATAATATTAAAGCAAACATTGTCGAAATCAAAATCTACCTGAACTTTGGAGATACAAACACTACCTTTAAAAAGTTGAGACATACGCAATTTGTTGAAAGAAAAAGGTCATTTATATATATTTTTTTCATATTCTTGCGTTTCCCATTATAATGTCGGCGATTGTGGAATTCAAAATAACTTGAACATAAACATATGGGCATCATTTGTGTAAAGTTACATTAGGTTTAAATTTAAATGTTTAAATTAATTATTTTTTGGATAGTTCAGAACGCCAACTCATAAGAATAATAAAGACAAAAACAAAAAACAAAAAAATGAAACGATAATTGGTCACGCCGTGGTTCTTGGAAACATGAGCAATAGCTTTTGTTAATGCCTGTACCAAATCAGGAATATAACAGTTGTTATCTATTCGTTTGATGTGTTTGAGCTTTTGATTTTGCATTTTGATTACAGACTTTCCATTTTGAATTTTCCTCGGAGTTCGGTATTTTTGTTATTTTACTTTATTTTAGAAGGTTTAATTGCACCTTCACAAAATTACAAACTGTAATATCTCTTATACGACAACAGATATCTCAAATCTGCTAAGTGTAAGATGATCTGCAGAAAAAGTAAAACACAATCCATTACTCCTTAAGGGCACAATGAATAATAAAATATATGATGCGATACTGAACTACAGAACCGGAAGATATTTTGTAATGGTCCCATTTCTCTACGGCTTCCGGTTCTGGAAAGTATTTTTTTTTTTTTTAATTTTAAATTGTGTAAAATATTTAAAGGAAAATAACTCTGATAAGGGATGATAACAAAATGATTGTTTATGCTTATAAAGCTCCTGACTTGTGACAGGCACATAAAGAATGTGACAGGGTTAAACTCCTTTGAAGGTGCAAACCCCTTCCCCTAAAAAGGGACAGTGGTGTAACTGTACAACATAAGAACAAACTATAAAATATGTTGAAAAAGGCTTAACTCATTAAAAGTCGGTTGTTTAACTTGTTGTTAAGTCTAACGCTGTCGTAAAAAATAGGATAACACATCGTTAAAGTTAACTCATGGTTAAACCTGTTGCTCTTTAGTGGAAATGGTTTCTACATCTAACAAAAACAAAGATTGGACGTGGACGGGTATTTATACATCCTCACAACGAAAAGACGCTATGATCAGATCTGAGAGTCCTCGTAGTTAATGACAGCTAGTTCAAAGCCAATAACAACTAATGACAAAATTCATGTATCTATGACTAAAATATCAATCAGTACACATCAAACGTTCAATGGATTTAGTGTAAAGACGTCATAAACAGTCAGGGGAAAACATAACAATGTACAAAACCAAGATACAAGTATCGACAAATTGTAGAGCCATGAACGTGCATATGTATATAAAATATATAAGAATATTTAGTTTGATTTGAAAAAGGATAACAACTGTCATATTTCTTAAATTTACTGATAAGAAATCAATAATAATACCAATAAAAACAATACTCCAAGATTTAATGACAATGTTAAGATGGTAACGTTTTAGAATACGTCTATTTAAAGGATCGATAATATTACCTGTATCGTTTCTAAATTCTAAATAAGAATCAAGAGATTTTTCATCAGATTTTTCACGTTAATACCAACTTTTACAATACGATAAAACGCGTCTTTTGTTACCTAACGACTCTGTTTCCAATCTATTTTCGATGGAGGACGATATGTTGGTCCTTTTTTCTAAAAAAAAAAAATTGTTATCTCGTTCTTGAACGATATTGAGGTCCCCCATAATAACATGGCTGTAGGAATAATATCTAAAATTCGAAGATTCATAGTCTCAAGTTAGAGGAGTAATATTGTCTACATTGACGTCTGATGTTACTGGCGTATAACTAATAATTAAAACTGGGATTTTGTATGTATACGAAATAGTAAGTGGTTCTGTGTTATCAAAATAGGGAGGTATAAATTTATGAATGGTAGAGACATTAGATACACTCGATGAGTTGATGAAATCATTACCTCTGGGCTTTTTTAAATATTGAATTTCCAAAAAGTGTCTTTTATGATCTTCAGGTTGCCCTTTTCAGATAGATTATATATGTAACAGTTCTAAAGATATGTTATGAATGTTTTTCAAGAGGGTGTAACTCTAAAAGGGGATGATGAAATACTACGCAGCCTCATCTGGTAATCCTTCATGATGAGATCTACTTATTGTCCAAAAAGATCGGGATATCTTCAAAAACTACGAAAGGGGTTATTAAAAAAAACAATAAAAGGGAGATTTCTTCTAAAGGGGGATGCTGAAATCCTACACAGCGTCATCTGGTAATACTTTATGATGAGATCTAATGATGGCCTAAATTTAGTCATGATAACTTCAAATAGAAATTGGGGGAGGCCATGTCAAAAACATGCTGGAAGAATACAAAGAAAAAATACATTAGTAAAACTATAAGGTCTATCACAACGTAGGAGAAAGACCTTAATGACAAATAGAATCGAGAAAAACAAAAAAAAACATATCGAGAAAAAAAATTGGATACTAACAAACAAATCACGAAAATATGTAGTAAAATAAATGATTTAGAGAGCCTGTTCAGGATAGTACAATGTAGTTTGAACAATGTAGTTTGTACTTAACGGTGTGCACTTTTAGCAGAAGCAAAATAAATCACTCTACAATGTATCATATGGACGATTTTGGAATATCTGTAATTATTGTACAGGGTTTCATATCTGTTTTAATATGCAGTAATTAATTAATCCATCATTTTGTCTCTTTATTTTATTAAGAGTTTTCCAAACCATTTACGGAAATTTTTGTTTCACACAAAGAGCAAAAAGTGAAGGCCCTCAAAGATCAAGAAGGTAAATTATTATTTTAGATTATATCTTTCATTCTGAAAATAGTACCATATTTTCTTACTAGTATATGTTTCGTTAAAAGAAATTTCAGTGTAACACATTTTGACTAAAATTAGATAAGAAACAAACGTCATTCTAAAACAGTAAGAAATTGTTGAAAGATACCAAAGGGACATTCAAACTTATAAGTCGACAATTATCTGAAAACTCCCAAAAACAGAGACCAAAACACAAACAATAGTACACACAACATAATATAGAAAACTAAAGATTAAGCAACACGAACCCCATCAAAAAATGCATTTATGTATTACTGAAAAATTATTACACCAGGGTTTTCGATATCACAAACTAGTCAAAACATTTACTAAATTTTATCATCGGTATAAGGACATCATTCGTAAATTTAGCTCAACATGCATACTTCTTATACGTTCAGGTATTTCACATCCAATTTTTTATGGAAATATTCTTTATAATGCTCAAAAATGTAAATATTCACCTCTGAAGCTAACAAAACCTTTAAATAGACTTATTAAGAAGGGATATAGTTACGATACTGTTGTCAGGTCATTAAAGATTGCATATTTTGGCGTTAATATTGATTAACTTATAGGGTCTTTGCATCGGAACTAAACACATTTATTTAAAAACCAGTTGTTGGCATGACACGGGTTATGTTCTTCTCATATATGTTATGATAGTATGATACTAAACCCCTAACGGGAAGGATTGTGCCTGATATTCATATGATGAAGACATAATCTTTCAATCAGTTTAATTGAAGTCTGGAGCTGGCATGTCAGTCAACTGCTAGTAGTCTGTTGTTATTTATGTATCATTGTCTTTTTGTTTATTTTCTTTGGTTACATCTTCTGACATCAGACTCGGACTTCTCTTGAACTGAATTTTAATGTGCGTATTGTTGTGCGTTTACTTTTCTATATTGGCTAGAGGTATAGGGGGAGGGTTGAGATCTCATAAACATGTTTAACCCCGCCGCATTTTTGCGCCTGTCCCAAGTCAGGAGCCTCTAGCCTTTGTTAGTCTTGTATTATTTTTAATTTTAGTTTCTTGTGTACAATTTGGAGTTTAGTATGGCGTTCATTATCACTGAACCAGTATATATATATGTTTAGGGGCCAGCTGAAGGACGCCTCCGGGTGCGGGAATTTCTCGCTGCATTGAAGACCTGTTGGTGGCCTTCTGCTGTTGTCTGTTCTATGGTCGGGTTGTTGTCTCTTTGACACATTCCCCATTTCCATTCTCAATTTTATTTATCACCAACCATGCGAATCCGCCCTCAGTCAAAATGTCACACTTGAGAATAGGACAAAATCAAAAAGACGACTACTCAGGTATTTAAAGACTAGAGCAAAAGTGTTTATAACATAAATCTCTTGAAGAAGTACAATCTATTTTAGGTTATCTAAATTATATCTACGATAGTATTAGGAAAACGGGGAAAAATACAATCGATGTATGAGAGTCCATCTGTTAGCTACTTTTTTCATATCGTACAAACATGGAAAATACCAACAATACAATCGGTCACCCTATGTTATAAAAATGATGATTTAACAATTTGTGTGTATGTGAATTCAAATGTGATCTGAAAGGTATAACAATAGCTCATGATTTTACCAGAGCCAGCTCATTTTAATTTCAATAAAATAAGTGTTAAAACTACACTAGAATGATCAAAAGAAAGAAATGTCTGCATTAATGTCTCTACGTTTATACCATAATTGCTATTTTTACAGAAGTTGCTTGTCTTGGAGGTTGGGATTCTAATCTGAATACGGATGAAGGTGAGACAACCGATTTAAACACTGGTACATTACACAGTGATTCGCTTATACAATGCATTGATGCATATGTAACCAATTTTCTGTAAATATATTTTTTACCACACAAAAAACATACACTTTCTGAATTATTGAAGCTGAGGAGAATAAATACAGCGGTAATGGGATCCTATATGTTTGTCTAACAAAAGAGATAATTGAAAGGTATCTATAGAGGGCACCACTATTTTTCAACAATAATCAACTGTTTATATATGTCGAAGAAATGAATATATAAGGGCCAATTTACCCAAATTATCCAGATTGATCGATTTTTGGATGCTTATCCACGAATTATTCAGATATGAGGAACACGGGCATAGTTAAGTTAGCAAAAATAACTAAAACCTCAAACTATATAACAACAATATGTAGAGTTAGTGCCATGGCAAATGATCAGATAAAATAATAGCATGTCAATTTAAAATCAATATCATTTATTTACTTGTTTTCTGCGATGATGAAATTCTAAATTTTTATAAATCTACTTAAATAACTTTTTAATTCATTTGTAACAAACATACTTTGTTCAAGTAGTGAGGTCACAGCCATCAACTGGACGTCGATTGATGAATTCAAAATTTCTTTGATAAGATGTGTAAAGAACTGGTCGTCGATTTTTATTTCAAATGTATTATAATGTCAGATTTGACATTCTTTTGAGGATCGGACAGACGTCGACCTGAGCCCTACATGCATATGATGACATTAAGCCTTTATCTGCAAAATATTTTAAACAGTGAAATTGACTGACTGAAATATATACGTTGGAATTGAAATAAAACTTATTCATTGTGATTTATGTACAAACATTCTGTTACCTTAAACAACAAACATTTCGTTGACGTTTACTTGGTTACAAAATCAGTTAAAACGTAAATTTTTTCAATTAGCCTTTGTTCATTGATTGCCAACAGGAAATTAAGTCTTCATCAGACGAAACAAATTAAAAAAAATAATGTATTCTTATATGGTTTAGCAAAGCTATAAAACATTGAGCAATGCCAAAACAGCATTACAGATATAACATATCATTTTTTACACAAACATTGTTTTTAATTGTTTTTCCAGACATACCAGAATATAATATTACTGATAATGTGAGCACTGACGAAGAGAGCTCTCATTGCTATTCGAGCGAAGGTTGGTTACGTTTTGTAATTTTGTCTCTTTAATCCATGATCTGTGAGTTTTGTGAGTTATTGAAAGAACCTGCAAGCTGTTTAGTCTTAAATATCACAGCTGAATTTCTTGTAGAAAAACCAGCGTCTGGCATTCTTATTTACAAGATCTGAATACATAAATTACAAACGTCATCAATTTTGTCATTGCAACCTAAATATCGCAGTCCCAAGTAGACTTCCATTTGTTTACGATAAGATGTTGCAAGATGAGAAATGTTATTCAAGTAATATTTTTTCAATAGTGCTCGTTTGGACAGGATTGAATAATCAGACTAATAAAATATTGATGAATAATGTACAATGATATTTGCATTATTGTTAATCTATAATATATCACCGCATACTTCTTTGTTAAAATTTCTTGTTGTTTCACCGACAAATACAAATTATTTTATATTTATCAGTAGAAATTATAGTCTAAAGGCTATCAATGTACCGGTTAAATCAATTTTGAAATTGAAACTTTTGAGACGATCCCTTATTCAAATGTCTCATATCTAGACTTTCGTTCATTATCACTGAACTAGTATATATATTAGTTTAGGGGCCAGCTGAAGGACGCCTCCGGGTGCGGGAATTTCTCGCTGCATTGAAGACCTGTTGGTGACCTTCTGCTGTTGTCTGTTCTATGGTCGGGTTGTTGTCTCTTTGACACATTCCCCATTTTCATTCTCAATTTTATTTCGACTCTAAATTGTCAATTGTAAACAATTATCTGACATGTCTAGTAGACAAAGATTTCAGTCTGATCATAAACAAGATTAGTTAATTTTCAATTCAGATCGTCGTTACTCCTGGTGGTTTACAATAGTTCAAATTGAACTTTTAATAAATTGAGCTTCGTTTATCAGAGTCGCAAGTGCTTGTTTTATATTAAGGAATGAAACAGCGGAGTAATTAAAGTCTAAAATGTCTTTATCAAGATTTTGGTAATTGTCACTAGAGTGATAATCTGAATGTGAGTTAATTTGGGATGTCTTTTGAAAGAGAGATACCTGCTATGTAAAACGACACTGTGTTCTTGGTTACTACTACTTTGAGGGCGTTGATCAACAATGACTTCCAATGAGGCTATAAGCGGTTCTTGATAACACCTGTGCGGGTCCTTTCTATATACTTGGCGACGTCGTTATAAGTAATGTGTGCAATCCTCTTAATTTCACGGATTTAAAAAATTAGGTGGATAATCTTCTAGAAAACAAAATTATAATCCCACCTATTGACTCCGATTAAGTGGTAGTAAAATTACTAAATACATCAAAGTGACAATCAAATTCTTTCGAAAAGTAACCGGTATTAATATGACAAAAAAATACAACCTTCTATGAAATTCTACATTTAAAACAAATCATAACACAACACAAATCACAAAAAATACGTAGGAAATTAAAGGGTGGTAAAACATATGCTAGTCACTTTTTTCTTTTGGTCATTGCCTTATAGTCATTCATTCCATGATGGGGTTATTTTTTTCGTTTTTATGCTAAGCCTTATGTTTTGAATAATTTGCTTAAATGTTTTATATTGTGTTTATTTTTATGAACGACATATGCATTGGAAATATATGAATTTGAAATATTGATGTAAAGATCCTAACATGTACTTATTCGAGTAGATTGCATTGTTTCCAAAATGTAATATTATCGCCTCTATAGCTCATATCCTGGGTCTAGTAAACATTGTTTTTTTTTAATCTATGAGTCAAATTTCACACAGATTTAATATTTGTGGTGTATCTTTTTGTTTTATAAAGTTATTAGCTATTTGCAGTAACCATATTGAAACACATTCATTCCCTCATTGTGATAATATCAGTGGTCCCAGTCGTATATAAATGTTTCTTTAAAAGTGTTCTTCTAGCCTTCATGTCTATGTCGCTATTGCGGTATCATTGCGTTGGTTTTGCTTTACAGAACATTATAGTTTAATGTTTTCCGATATTCTATATTTTCCCATTCGAATACTTCACTTGTAAATAAATGTGATTCTTTAATGGCCATTCCTATCTAAACATCATCTGAACAAACTGACCATGAACACATCAAATCTGGTAAATGCAGACATTTTCCTGTTGTAAAGTCAGTTCTGTTTACACAATTGGTTTGAAGTGAATCCAGAACTGATTGACACCTTTTCATGCAATTCAGTATATTGCAGATTTTGGATAGGTAGATAGAAAAGGTCAACAATTAAAATGACGTCCTAACCTTCCTTAATTCTTGACAAAATTCCAGCTTCAGCGAATTATAAACTTAATAACGTACCTTCTCAAATAATAAATTAAACCTAGCATATAAGTAAACTGCATTATTAATTCGCGATTTATGGAACAAGTCTATTAATAGTTAACGAGTATGATAGGCGTAGCCTTTATAATGGAGTACTGGTAAATGTAGTTTGGGTAGTTAGTGTATTTTTGGTAAGAGTATTTCTTACTTCATTTCAGATGAAGATTACAGTTCATTAAATGATTCAGAAGACAAATACAGTTATAAAACTGGTAAGAATGTATGTGTACAATACAAGAAGGCTGTAATAAATCGTATATCGAACGATAATGAACGAGTATTGGTGCTGCGAATTAACAATGATTGTCCAAAGTATTTTTTCTACAGACAGAAAGGAAAGTAAGCAAATGTGGCTTGCAAATACACGACACTGTTGAACAAAACAAATACATTCAAACCAAAATTGACACACGTAAAACTGAGAGATTAGATATAATGAAATATATCAGTCGAAGAAGAACAGACAAAATTAGAGTAAGAAGAAAAATACGAAAAATAAACAAGTCCTCATAACAATACGCATCCACAAAGGCGCAATCATAACCAATACTACTCGTTATCTTTATGAACAGACATTCTGACAGTTCAGAGTTCACTTATGACATGTTTATGATTGGTTCTATTAATAAATTCAATAATTTACTTAAAAAGCAGGCTAGGTTCAACGACTGTTATCAAGACTAACAAAAACTAACTTATCGACCATTTAAGTTAATTTGGAACGACGTGATGTTCGAAACTGAGATATGCATAAATGTAAGCTTATTTCTATCAAACCTGTAAAGTAAACTTTTGTTCTCGTCTCCTCCACGTTAAAATTAACTTGTGAATATGATGACTTTGTATCAAGTGATCAAATATTGTGAAATGATCTTTGTTCTCGATTTATATATATTGCATGAAAATGTATTTACATCTAGGATCTGTCAAAAGCAGTCTTGTATTTTGGTTTTGAATTGACTTGAGCGGAATAGTCATTGGAGACTGGCGGCGTGGTTAAAAACAATCTATCTCATGCCTGGTCTGGAGTGTTTCAAATTAGAACTGCATAAATAAATGGTCTATAGAAGAATGCCTATAGTAATGGTTCGTCCAATAAAAAAAACATTTTAATTCAACATTTAAAACTTTAAAATTCAAAATTCAAAAGTCTCTTCAAAGTGAATTGTTACTCAGGTTATAACTGCAACAATCCGTAAATATGAAACATGGAAAATGAGAATCACGAGTTCCAGTTATAATCGTTGATGAACTCAGTTGTTTTGAAATGGTAAGCAGTTCCTGCTCAACTAGTGACATCAACACCAGCTGTTTTAACCATTGTTCAGTTACAATATGGTTTAGTTCTTTGCAACAAAGTGATTGTTAAATACTGATAGAATGTGAGGATGGTTTTTAATTATTATTATTGTTTTAGATACATGGGGACGCAAAACGATTGATCAATTCAAAAAAGGTTAGTTCTACTGTTATCATGTTTCCTTAAGTATAGGTAAAGAATCATTAACGGGCAATAAGCAAAACAGGACATGCTTAAATTAACCGTACGTTTCGATTAAAAATAATTCATCATAAATATTTAGACGATCGTTGTAAAGATCATAGCAATTCCTCTATCTTTATATTTGAAAGATGTTCCGCATGAGGAGAAAGCCACAAAATACGAAACATATGGATTCAAATCCGTCGCCACTATCTTTTTTTTTGCTAGACTAAGATTGCTTTTCCGGCGGCGGCAAATGTTAAGTTTTCTGCTTAAGTTGGTTTGATAGGAACTACTTGTGATAGATGATTGTTATTTGATGTACAGTTGCATTACTATCAGTACATATCAGTTTGACAACAATTTTGAGGCCTTTCCCACTAGGTCATGGTCCAGCCACTTTCAATTTTCAATGTTAACTGTTGGTATATTCTATAAAGTTACATAACTATCAGTACATATCAGTTTAACGTTTTCGATGCCCTGTCCCCTAGGTCATGGTACGGCGATCGTGAATTAATTCGCTATTGTCAATGTTAAGTTTTATGGTTAAGTTAGATTGATAGGAAATACAATGAACAAGGATATTTTCTATAAAGCTACATTTATGTCTATTATTCTCAGTTGTCGACCATTTACAGACCCTATCCACTAAATCATGGTCCAGCGACTGAATTAAAAAGCAATGTTGCTGTCTAGCAGATTGTCTTATTTTTTCTGAATTTAATATGTCTGACAACAGTTTATTTTTAAATCATATGGAGAGAAGATCTGAATGAATTTTGTATATAATGCCTTATATATGTTTAAATAACATTATTTTACATTGTGCTTGATTTCAGTTTCGTGGTTTCGTTCTTGTATAGGCTAAATGTAGGGTGTACATGTCCGACCGGTAGGTTTTAACGGACCGTGATTCATTGGTCAATGTTATGTTTTCATGGATATTTTTTTTTGTCTGATACTTTCTCAGCAATGCTTGTCATTTCTACTCGAGTATTGAACGGGTTCAAAAACCTTGACCTCATTTCCATGTTTCATTGGTCAATTTTTATTTTTCATGTATAATAAACTCGATCCATTGGCTTGGAGAGACACTTGTCAGTTTATTTTCGATTTATGAGTTTGAATGTCCCTCTGGTATTTTCGCCCCTCTTTTGTGATGTCTTCTATTTTTTTTTTTTTTTTATCAAATTAAGAAGTAAAGCACTCCGCTATATTACACCTTCCTGTATACAAAAAGGACTTTAATACTTGTAAAGACTTCTAAAGAATCTAGTGCAAGGTAAACATGTAAGCTAACCAAATTGATGTTTTTATGTAACTTTACGCGAAGAATAATACCGGGTTATAGAGGGTCGTCAAGTTGGTTACTTATTCCTTATTCCTTATTCGTTACCTATTAGTTACTTATTCCTTAATCGTTACCTATTCGTTACTTATTCCTCATTCGTTACCTATTCGTTACTTATTCCTTATTCCTTATTCCTTATTCGTTACTATTTCGATTTTAGTATGTTTCCCTCTTTTCGTGCTTTTCTTTCTTATCTCTGGTAATACTTCTTGGTTTGCAGAGGTGAAATTACAATTCTAGCGCTAATGTGCTCGTTTCAGCGCTCGACTGATACCCTGTTACTTATTCGTTCCTTATTCGCTTATAATATATGTGTTATATGTTGCACCTTTAAAATAATTCTTTTCATTTTTTTTTCTTGTCTCTGGTGTTAGCTATGGGATTTTTAGAGGTGAAACAAGCCTATTAGCGCGTATGTATTGTACCCGTTTCAGCGCTTTCTGTTACTTATTCGTTCCTAATTCGCTTGTAATGCGTGTTTTATAACAGTATAAGTTGCACCTTTTAAAATAAATTATTTTTAATTTTGTTTCTTGTCTCTGGTCTTAGCTGCGGGCTCTTAGAGGCGAAATAGCCCTGTTAGCGCGCATGTTCCCGTTTCAGCGCTCGACTGATATCCTGTTACTTATTCGTTCCTTATTCGCTAGTAATACGTTTGTTATACATTGCGCCTTTTAAAAAAATCTTTTCAATTGTTTTCTTGTCTCTGGTGTTAGCTATGGGTTCTTGGAGTTGAAATAACCATATGATCGCGTATGTACCCCTTTCAGCGCTCGACTGATACCAAGATTATACATATAGATAAAAAAAGTACTAAACGTGAAAAGGATTCGATTTAAAGTTCATTGTGCAGAAATTCCTCAGTGTTTGTGTTGTTTAACGGGGCCTCGCTGACCTTATGGTCTTTTAATAGTTGGTCTGAACTTATCCCTTAAGTTTTATGATCACCATCACTAACCGATATGATATGTCTGTGTCTCAACCCACTAGTGACATGTGTTTGCAGTCTTAGATCTTAAGATACCAGAATAGTCGTATAATCTGTAATTTTGCCGTTGTATCCTACTCTCGATTATGACATTTTTAGTTATATACAAGATGTGGAAGAAACTCATAAGTCAAGGACAATCTGACAACGCCATTGCAAAAAAAGGAAAAAGACCGAAAGTCAAACAGTAGTATTCAAAACACAAAATAGAAAAATAAAGACTGAGTTGAAGGAACCCAGCCAAGTTACCAGGAAGGGTTAAGAGGGTCTTTCATATATGGCCCTCATACATGCGTGTGGATTCGCAAGACGAGTGATTCAAACATGCATATCAGGAAACGTTTACCCTGTTGACGCACACGGTCTCTTTACTTTTTAAATTCATGCGGTTCCCTATGGGGTTTGTTTTGTACTTATAATAATCTTCTTAATCAATTTTGGAGAGTTTAATATGGGTGAACTAGTGCTGCCTTTAACACTGAAGTCATGAGTTTCAACCACACTTCGACAAAGCCCATTTGATACCGATCTTAATCTACAATTACACCCCAGTTGTTTTGTTATACTTCATAGTTTCTATTTCTGAAACAAGTGTAAATTGAATAGATCTATTGTTATGAATAACAATGGATTTTGAACAAATGGTGTGACGAGCGGGGTTCTGGAAACCCCTGCTTCTACATCTCGAAACCACAGTCCATTGTTATTCATTACAATAGAAATGGTTTTTTTTATGATATCATGAACATAAGCGATTACTTAAAGTGTTCACTACAAGTTTTTTCAAAACATATTAAAAAACATATTTCAGGAAAATTGTATAGCGAATAAAAATATTAATAATTTATTTTGAATAAAAAAAAATCATTTAAATACTCCTTTGCTTGAAGCTGCAATTGCAATCCCATATGGCAATGTCTTCAAGAACATACAAAAAGGCACTTTAATTCGAATTATACATTAACACATAAAGTTTACATTTGGACTAAGTCTTAATCATAAAATAAATATTAATGTTTGGATTGTTGAAGATAATGATGACACCCAGGGGCGGATACACCCATTTTAAGAGGGATGCCAACCAAGGATAAAAAAGGGGTTCAAGCCATATGTCCCGATTCAAAAGCATGTTCCAATTTACGGGGATTCCAATCCCCGGAATCCCCCACTCTTGGATTGCCCCCCCCCCCCGAAAAAAAACAGTGGATTCCTACATATACAATCTGTATTTTTGTATGTCAAGTGTGTACAGTCGTCAACTTTCTAATCAAGACACACCTATCCCTCAGTATGTTCGAAATGAATGTTTGTTTAATGTTGAGAAGAGGTGGGGGATATAAAACCGTAACATGTAAAATACATTTATGATTACTTTCATTTAACTCATACATGTAAGTACTTTGGGTTATAAATATTGCGTTATCTTCAGTCTCTTCTGCCAAATCCAACGCCTGACTCAAAATGTATTATAATAGTTTTTTGTCGTCATAAGATTTTTGTTATTTATATTAATAGAAAAACAAAGGATAATACTCTTTTATTCTGTCGTCTAAAACATATACTATAACCAACGCATAGAAATTTATCACCAAACGTTGTCTACTGTTACAATATTGGCTATACTTGACCTTTTTTGACAGTATCTATAAACCAAACTGTTCATTATTATTATTTTTAAGACCGGGAAGATGAGCTTAGAATCGTTTTGATTGGAAGAACAGGCGACGGAAAGAGTGCAACAGGAAATACAATTCTTGGTAAAAAAAAATTTCATTCAAATTGGTCAGCTTCATCTGTAACAAAGAGCTGCTCGCAAGGTATGGCATTACTAAATGGGAGGCGCATCAACGTTCTGGACACCCCAGGTCTTTTTGATACAAATATGCCCACAGAAAAGGTTCAAAATGAAATAAGCAAATTTATAGCTCTAACTGCACCTGGTCCTCATGCAGTTGTTATTGTGATGCAGCAGGGAAGATTTACCCCTGAATTAAAGAAAATGTTGGATCACTTCGTCGATCATTTTGGAGAAGAATTGCTGAGGTATGCAGTAATTGTCTTTACGCATTGGGAAGCTAAGAGCGATAACAATATTGTCTTAGAGGAATTCATTGGCACTGCACCTATTGACATGAAAGCGTTTGTCGCAAGATGTGGAAAACGATGCTTAGGATTAGATAATAAAGGTACTCGAAGCTACAGACAAAGAAAGGTTGCAGAACTTATCCAAATGGTTAATAAGGTCGTAGCCACCAATGGTGGGACATGCTACAGTAATGAAATGTACGAAAGGGCAACCCAAGAATTGCTAGCCGATATGCAAAAGAGAGAAGCTGCGTATCAAGAAGAGAAAGAAAGAGCTAGACAAAGGATTATCCTTGAAGTGTCCGAAAAATACGAGAAGTTGTTAACAGATTACCAATATAAAATCAATGATCTGGAAAAGGCCAGAGAAGAACAAAAAAAGGATATGATGCAAATGAATGAAAATTTAGATAGTGTTAAGGATGAAATAGAACGATATAAAATTCAAATAGAAGAGAAAAAAAAGGAACAAGTTATAGCCAAAACCGAAAACGAGGAGAACATTCGCAAGCTGGAACTAAAGATAGATCAAGTAAATACGGATATGCATCAGGCCAAAGAAATAGATGACAGTAAACAAAAGCAACTTGATGGCCTTATGAAGGAAAGGGATGCACTAAAAAAAAACTCTCAAAAGAATGATGGAGAAATTGAAGAGTTGAAAAGGAAAGTGGAACAATTGGATATAAAAGCAACTGCCGCAGAAAAAACCAAAGATGAAATAAAAAAAACATTAGAAATTGCAAAAAATGCTAGGGAACAATTGAAAAATGAGAATAAAAAATTATTGGAAAAACTCGAAGAAGAAGCGAGGTTAGGTTTGTACCAAAGAATAAAGCGATGGATAATTGGTTCTTAAGATGCCAATGAAAAGAAAAGCTTATTTAAGATATGTACATTAACAGTCCGTCCTCTTTAATAATATCGATCGCATAAAACGAAGCCATATGACACACTAACCTTTGTTTTCCTGATGTTTTCTCTACTTTTTTTTCTACTTTTTATTTTTTATTTATTTTTTTTTACTTTCTTTCATTTATTATGACGAAATATTTAGTATTCGTATAAAAGAACAATATGCGACACGGATATTCATAAATGAAATATGTTACACAGAATGGGTATACACAAGTAAAATATCATGCATTTAACATAAAAAAATGCTATATCCTTTCATGCAAAGCCGAATTGAAACCTTAAACCGACGACAAACGATTGATTCAATGACAAAATTATCAATGAATAAATCGGGGTAAAAGCATAAAATTGCACAAGTTAATTTGCGTTTTTTTTTAATTTTAACAGCTTTTTAATAAACACATAACATATCAATAGAAAACTAATACTATATCAATGCGTGTATACAACGTTTAAAAACTGATGTTCTGTTCTTAATCTCATCATCTTACATTGCACTATGAAAACTGAAAAACATTTCATGTTATCTAAATAGTCCATAATACCTGTATGTTTGACTATTCTATAATGTTGTAAGCTTTGTAGGCAATTATTTTCATTCAAATTAGGTTAAGTATTGTAAAGTCATTAACCTCGGGTTTTTTTTACAAGAGTTTAGTATGTTTGTTATTTTAAATTTTTTTCTATCATTTAGTCGTTGCATTGAAAATTAATTTATGAGCATGTTTTAGTTTTCAAATTATTGCATAAAAAATTTTCTCATTTTCCATGATTGCACAAAATACTTCTTGTCAAAATATTATAGTACAGTTATATCAGTGACACACATCAGTCCATATATGTTTGCCTATCGCGAATCAATAGATTATACTAAAAAAGACATATGTCTTACAAGACTAGACAAATGAATTTGTTCTTGTCCTAATCATAATTTCTAATAGTGTGTAATCACTTCTGTAAATACGCGTCCAAATCTTTAGAAATCCGTTGTAGGGCATCTCGCAGCACATGTTAACTTGGACAAGGCGCTCTTGGAGATGTTTGTGTCTTTTTCATTTATTTTACATGCGTAATCGTTATTTTTCTTACATCACAAAATTCATTACGAGATTTTAAATGAAAAGGTAATTACAATGAGGGAAGATCGAACCTGATTTATATTCACGTATTTTACTTTCGTCCTGAGAATGTTAACTGAAAAGTTTGCAGATTAAAATAAGTCAATAATTACAGACAATATTACAATCATTATTGTAATTCTGCAAGAGTAATGCACTTTTATATTGTGCAAACTTTAGTAAACATCTTTATCATACTCTTCATTCCACTAGTAGCAAAGGAGAAGGGGCAATAAGGCCCTTATTTGGCCCAAATATTTCTGCAAATTTAAAAGTTATCATACATATTCTTAAATTTGTCCTAACTAGACTAAGGTACAAGGTATTCAGAAAATGAAAACAAATTTTACATTTAACGAGTTACCACGGCAACACACTATGATGCAATTTGTATATTTTGTAAAATTTCTTGATTTTCCTGGTTTTTTAACAAATTTTAAGTATATTTTAGATTGGCAAAGTATGTGCGCATCCAAGAAACAAATTTATATTAAGTGAGATTATGTCAATAGTTATAATAAAGCTTCTCTTAAATTTGTTGTTGTTTCTTGGCTGCGCCAAATGTTTTCATAATGAGAATAACGATAGAAAACTGCATAAATTCTGTTTTTTTTTTTATCGTTTTCATGAAAACGGTACATATTATGACGTAATTGTGACGTCATCAGATAGAAAATCTTATATTTTTCATTTATATTTCTTAACTCTATGCATTTCCAAACATTATGTGCTAATTTAGGATAGTTTTCAAACATTTTATTTTCTTGGGCCAAAAACGGGCTTAAATGCCCCTTCTCCTTTGTAGTATGAAACGGCTTAGTCTGTATTGACGTCTTTCGCCGCTCTCTAGTTGGATTATTCTCAAGATAATAATAAACAACGTTTAAAGATGTCAGATTTTGTCATAACGTTTTTAGATCTGTTCGGGTTACCCTCATTATATTAGGAGTTACCTGCTTTAGGTTTATTATTAGTTTACCCAAAGTATGAGTAAAATATAAATAAACACATGTATATAGTCAGGGGCGGATGTAGCCATTTTCAAAACGGGGGGAAAAGGGGGGGGGTATGGAAGGTGTCAACCTAAGATAAAGATGGGGATTCCAACCATGTGTCCCCATGTAAAAGCATTGATCGTCAAAAAAGGGGTTCCAACCCCCGGACCCCCCCTCCCTTGGATCCACCACTGTATAGTTAGCAATAAACATTTACTTACTATAACGATTAACGTATTACGAAATATTTTTAACACCTAATCTAAATGCTTGATTTAGCGATACGTATTTCCTGTTGATCTGTGATAAAATTTATTGTGCACATTTTTTATAGGATGTTTATCTATGACGAGGCGAAAATTCACTTTACTAACGATTTTAAAAAAAATTGGAAATACGCTGTCGATACACAGGACAAAAAAAATGTTAGTTATGATTAATAATAGCATTGCTAGTTAAACATAGTTAAACAATTTATATACATAATCGTCAATCATTTCATTAATTTTCAGTCGCTTGAAAAAAGGAAAGAAATATTTCCATCACTCACTTTTCTTTCAGTCTTTTTAATTTGTTTCTAATAAACTTCTTAGAATCAATAGGTACTGGGTTAGATTCATTTTCCCCGACTAGAAATGTGTATATTTTTGTCATTAAATTCATTTAGCTTTAATATGTGGTATATTTATTAGTGATTTTAATGAAAATCTGATTGTTTGCCATCCTTATAATAATATCATTACATTATGTTCCATTTTTCCTGTTGGGAAAATTGCTTTTGTAAAACAGAGGCGAAGGATATCAAACATGGCATTGTATGTTGATAGGTTTATACTAGTCCAAATAATTATGACGTCTTGAAAGGCTATTTTAATTTTTTTTCTGTGACGCCTTCCTACGACGTCATAACGCTGAAGCCATTTTTTCCGTCTGGACTTTGAGAGAGAATTTTGAGGGGAACTTTGAGACCCAATTTTGGCATGAAATCTTCATTAACGGTTAAAACTGTTTCAAAGATTCAAAGTCTCGCCTGTTTTGTGCTTTTTGGTGCAAAATATTTCCAGAAATATACAACAGAAATGATAAAATAAGACACGATTCCATTTAAGGTGGGCAAATATCTATTTTGATTTCAAAATGGTTTCCCAGAATTTCCAATATACGTCACTTCCAGCGGATATAAAATATCAAAATCGGTTAAATTTAATGGACCCGAATTTCCGGAACGTTCGATTTATATTATCCGGAAATTCGAATCTGCCAAATTTTACCGAGTTTGATATTTTATATTCGCCGGAAGTGACGTATCTTGGAAATTCTGGGAAACCATTTTGAAATCAAAATAAATATTTGCCCACCTCAAATGGAATCGTATCGTATTTTATCATTTTTTTTTGGGGATATTTCTGGAAATATTTTGCACCAATAAGCACAAAAAGGGTGAGACTTTGAATCTTTGCAAAAAATATAACCGTTAATGAAGATTTCATGCCAAAATTGGGTCTCAAAGTTCCCCCCAAAATTCTCTCTCAAAGTCCAGACGGAAAAAAAAGCTTCAGCGTTATGATGTCGTAGGAAGGCGTCACAGAAAAAAAAAATTAAAATAGCCTTTCAAGACGGCATAATTATTTGGACTAGGTTTATACCTGTAAAATTTGGTTAAAATATTTTACATTAATCGACAGACTTGGGATGAACAAAATGAATTTCACCAATGCTAGAAAGGGGTATCCGTTTGGTTGGGCGGGATGTAAAAATTCGCATCACTTCTTAATGGGAACATCGAATCAAATTGCTCGTGATGCCAACGTATATTTGTGTTCCCGTCAACAGAAGATCCCTGTAATCTTTGTAATAAACAATGTCATAATAATGTGCCATAATGTTTACAAATCGATGTCAATACGGCAGTTCCGGGATACGGTTTTTAGTTGAAACTGTCATGTGACTTCCATCACCACGTGACAAAAATGTAGGCATCGTCACTTCCAACAAATGTTGAGCAAATGGGTGAAAAGTTTGATTTTATACTGCACAAAATATTTGGGAAATTGAAATCTAATAAGATGATCACCCTCCCTCAGTCGTACGGTAATCAAGATTACTTGTGGAACATAAATTAGTTCCATACTACTCTACAGAATGACGATTCTCAAAGTGCTGGAAACTTTTACATAGAGCAGGGATACAGGTGCGCCTTCTATCTGGTAAATGACGTCAAAAAGGCGTGCGAAATTGACGATCTTTTCCGGTGAAAGACATGATTCCAGATATGACGTTAAATATAATAGAATTTTATGCAACTGTCATACAAGTGAGAGGTTAAGCTAGCCATAAAACAAGGCTTAATCCACCGTTTTCTACATAAGACTAGACAAAGTGATGCCCCCGCATTCCACTCTTTCTTTGAGATATTATTGTGTCTGGGAGACACAAATGATACCCCCGGAGATGCAAAGTTTTATTTTGAAATACACAAAGTTGAAAAAAAAATTAAAAAGATGACAAAGTTTAACTATCTCACAAAAGAGCAATTATTAATAAAAATCAAAACCCTGACCACATGCTCACCTTCAATATATTTACACACAGCCAGCAAAGTAGAAACTTCCTAGCATTTAAACTGTAGGAGAAGTTATCCGGAAACGCTATGCACCTCTTATGCAAGTATATACTCCAAAAATGACAAAGTTCAACTATCTCCCAGAAGAGCAAATATTAATAAAGATCAAAACCCTGACCACATGCACACATTCAATATATGTTTAAACAGCCAGCAAAGTGAAAACCTCTTAGCATTCAAACTGTAGGATGAGTTATTCGGAAACGCTTTGCACATCTTATGCAAGTATATATTCCAAAAAATTACAAAGTTCAACTATCTCCCAAAAGAGCAACTATTATTAAAAACTCAAACCCTGACCACATGCACACATGCACACATCTTCAATATATGTACAAAAAGCCAGCAAAGTGAAAACTTCCTAGCATTCAAACTGTAGGAGGAGTTATCTGGAATAATTATATAACCATAATGGGAAATACGGACGGACGGACCGACGGACAGGGGTAAAACAATATGCCCCCCCAACTTTTATTTGCAAGGGCATAAAAATGCCTATACCAAGTCAGGAATATGAAAGTTGTTATCCATTCGTTTGATGTGTTTGAGCTTTTGATTTTACCATTTGATTAGGGACTTTCCGTTTTAAATTTTCCTCGGAGTTCGTTTTTTTTGTGATTTGACTTTTTTATAATATACCTTCCTGCGGGAACAGATTATTGATATTCTATACTCCCTTATTCCAGCCGAAATTATATTACAGATGTATACACTTGGAACTTATATTATGAAGGCACTTCTATTTCATGACATTGTATAAGGAGAGTGGCACACTTTCTGCATGTACGTTAGGAGCTCTTTCGCTGGTCCGTTGAACGGCTGTTGAAAGGCAACATTATTTTGCCTATCAAATATAACCACGTTTCTAGTGGAGGTCAACATCTGTCCTATATCAAAATATGCAAAAGGATGCAAAACGTTAACGCAGTATTCTCGAAAATAGAGACAAAGGATACCAAAGTTATGTATGATAAAGACGAAAGATACCAATGAGACAATCAAACTTTTAAGCATCGGAATTGATGAAAAAAAGGATTTTATTTCCAATAGAATTCGTACATCAATTACATTTTCTTTTACCTATTTTCAAGTTACAATATCTCCCCTTATCAATGTTGAGGTTATGTGCTTACTCTTAATTTAGTTAACATTCAATCTTCTTTTATTTTCAATACCAAACGTAAATCTTTTTCAAATCTTTTTATCCAAATGTTTATGAAGTAATAATACAAACACAAGTTACTTTTCTGCATTAAAGTATCTAGATTATAATAACCGGTTCGTTTATCAGAACGATTAATAAGAATTTGAAAGTCCTAATTAAGTTTACTATTTTTGCAAATTCAGGGTGGAAATAATGGCTCTTGTAATACCCATGGATACGTCCTCTTTTCCTAAGATAATGTAAATATATAACTGTTTTGTAGACAGAAAAATAGACTATTAGTGGAGTGACAAATCAAGAAAAGGTGCTTATTTTACGACTTTAATGGATAGGCAAAAATGCAGACTGAAAAGGATTTTTTGCAAAACTTATACATTAATCTTACTTTTTTACCCGGTCGTAGCCATTTCCTATGGTGCAGTTTATTTATAAAATGGAAATAAAACGACATGGTAATTTTTTCATTCAAAATGCAACTCGGCAAACTATTTTACTTTTGTTTCTTTTTATAGTCATCAAATAAATATGAGAATGGAAATGGGGAATGTGTCAAAGAGACAACAACCCGACCATAGAGCAGACAACAGTCGAAGGCCACCAATGGGTCTTCAATGCAGCGAGAAACTCCCGCACCCGAAGGCGTCCTTCAGCTGGCCCCTAATCAAATATGTATACTAGTTCAGTGATAATGAACGTCATACTAAACTCCAAATTATACACAGGAAACTAAAATTAAAAATGATACAAGACTAACAAACTCTTTATTTGGCATTTTATGGAGAGTTTAAGTACTAATTTATATTGTAAATCTATAATTTCCGCTTGCAACCAGTATATAATTTAAACAATAACAAAACAAATTTCGATTCTTTCTTTAGAAACCGTGTAAAAAACAGAAATATATTTTTTAAATGTACATGTAATGTACAAAATTTCAATTGTAAACAATTTCCTGTTTTGCCTTTGCCTTTTTCTTGTTGCCCAACTGAAATTTCCTAAAAATGGGCATTTGGTGTTTACATCTTTTTTTATGATTGACTTGAAAGTGAACTGATACGGGTTATGTTCTTCTCATATATTTTATGATGGTATGATACAAAACATCTAACGGGAGGGATTGTGCTTGATTTTCATATGATGAAGACATAATCTTTCAATCAGTTTAATTGAGGTCTGGAGCTGGCATGTCAGTAACTGCTAGTAGTCCTTTGTTCCTTTATGTGTCATTGTCATTTTTATTAGTTTCTTTTGTTACTTATTCTGACATCGGACTCGGACTTCTTTTAAACTGAGTTTTACTGTGCGTATTGCTGTGTGTTTCTTTATTCTACATTGGCTAGAGGTATAGGGGGAGGATTGAGATCTCACAAAACATATTTAACATTATCAAAGTCAAGAGCCTCTGGCCTTTGTTAGTCTTGTATGTTTTTTAATTTTAGTTCATTTATATGTTTTGGAGTTTAGTATGACGTCCATTTTCACTGAACAAGTACACATTTTTATTTAGGGGCCAGCTGAGGCCAACCTCCGGGTGCGGGATTTTCTCGCTCCATTGAAGACCTATTGGTGGACTTCGGCTGTTATATGCTCTTTGGTCGGGTTTGTTGTCTCTTTGACATTTACCCCCTTTTCATTTTCAATTTTTATTTTTCATGCAGCATGGAAATTGCAGTTGTAAGTGTCAAATGAAAGTCTGCAGAATTAATGAGTCGGAACATCAATAATAAACACGATCTATATCTATTTAGAACTGATTAAAATATATTTAAGTCCGATTTTTGTGTAATTTAAGTGCGTAGTGTCAGGGTAACTCATTTCAAATCATTGTTTTTCATCTTTTCTGATTGCCTTGATATCTGCAAAAGGAATTATTTTAGAATGTTGA